CAAACCATGGAATGACGCCATCTCATATCGAAACCTAATTGCTGTTCACTTTTTCGCGCTCTGCCAGTGCTATATGATGCTATTGAGAAGGACAATTGGCCACCTTCTATTTCATTTCTTATTCTCCATTTGTTTCTTTTTTTCACATCCATGTGTCAATTTTTGCGTTCAGATTACCGCGACATTGCGAGATTAGTGTAAATATATGAACGTGACTAGACATCGTATCACTCCTGTCTTTATTCTTTCAATTTCAGTGCCTTGATGTTTCCACCGGATGCTGTTGCCGGCTTATTCCTGATCTTTTTCGGTATTATCGGGATACTTTTGTACGGTCTCATCACCTACAGTATGCTGCAAATGATCGGAGAGATCGTTGGATTCCGATTTCTTATCAGTCAAGCAATCACTGACGTTCTTTTGTTGGTACAGGTATGGCTTCTGTTTCAATTCCAGAATTTGTAAAGCTTATTCTTACTATACTAGCTTTTTTGTTGAAAGTGTACCTCTCCCACAAGCTACGTAGCTCTCCGAATCACATAAAATCGCTTTTCAGTGGGTCTACTTTTGAGATCAGAGCAGTTTTTTTATTTAATTTTGCAAAGTACTTAGCAATTTTATCCTTCATGAATTGAGCTATAGCAACTCCAGATGTGAAGTAATCCGAATAACGTGAAATGTTTGTATAGAAAACACACAAATATGCGGTTTTGTCGCGGTTTAAGGGGAGATTTTTTGGTTTACTAGCATCTAGAGAATTAAACGAGAAGATTTATTCTCCGACTACTGTTCATAAATGGAACGGTTTCACCGAGTTCGTCCGGATAAATCCAAACTCATCCAGTCGAACGAATTTCTGCATTCCTTTTGATTGATTAGTGACATTTTCATTTCCAATTCCTAAATTACAGGAATGAAAAGGGTAAGGCTTCTATATAAGACCTTGTGGGTAGACGAGCGACACCACCCCTCAAAAGCTGCTGCACCGAAATTTAGCGCCAATGAGGACAAGAGAAGTTAAAAGCTCCCTAGACCGGCTCACATGGCTGAAATAATGGCCCACTCATAGCTCCAAAAATCTTTACTTGTTGAAGAGCCAGAAAAGAGTGGTAAGGAACAACTTATGGGTCTATTCCAGTTAGGGGGGCATCATGATGCAGTTTTTCCAGAAAGCTAGGGTAACTCCGAGCCAGGGGGAGTGTAGCCAGTCTAGGGGGTGGGGGGTGAGGGCAGTCACTTGACATGCGTGAAAAGCTGGAATGTTCGAGTTCACACTAGTTCGCCGAGAAACTGCATCATGATGCCCCCCCCTAACTGGAATAGACCCCAGTTTATTCTGAAATTTCGTCAAAAAATAGAACGGACAAAATAAAAGTCAGGGAGAGAAGATGAAAAACTCTCAAGAATTATTAATCAATACCGTATGTAATTACATGTAGCAGTACATGTGGCTTGAATTTTCGCAATTTTTTCAAAGAGTCGGAACCATGTACTTTTGTTTGACACATTAACGACAGCGCAGGACACACACCTCCCACATTTCCACACTGAGAAGACTTGTTCTGCCTACTTAGTGCTTCCATTATCATTTCCCTAGTCTGTCCACATCCATTGGAGGATACGAAGAATAGTGGAGTAGTACTGTTGTACTCAGTGCTTGGTTGGGTAAGACGATAGATGAGATGGGATGGAGGTCAAGTAACTTCGGGTCCCCATGGAACGTTACCTGATATCTCCATTCGATCTATTTTCTACTTTTTCTGTAGATGCACTAGTCGTTAGTTGATAAAGAGGCCGACTACTGACACAACCCTCAGGTCAGTCTAAAGGCGACGATCCGTAAATCGTGCTCCATTGGTCATATTTCAGCATCTGTGCAGTATCATATGGACATCGTAAACGGGTGTCCCTAACAGGCCACCGCGCGTGAAGAAGAGACGCAGACGCCCCCCCCCCCCACCCAAAACATTGCCAGCGGCGTCCAGTCGCAGCGCATATGTAGCGATTAGGCGTAGTTAAAGAGAGGTGTACCGTACTAAGGTCTATCGCGCACAACCACGCGTGACCAGGGTGAAAATCGTGTCGAGTACGTGGTCGCAGAGGTACGACCCCCCCCCCCGAAATCGAGATCCTGGCACGACCCCCTCTAACAGAGCAAATTAATTCAATTAAAATAAATCCTGCAAAACAAATCAAAAAAATTCTGCAAAATAATGCTAAGGACAAAAAAAACAAAAACAAAAATAATGTCATCTATGCACGTCTTCCATCGCTGCATACTTTTGTGTACATACTGAAATATCGACTCGAGGAAAGAGGCATTAACTTTGTGTGGCCTCAAGGCGAGGTTCGTTCAGAAACGCACAGAAATCCTGAAGACACGGGGTTGCGATTCAATCTTGATTCTTGCTTGAGTATATCAAAACAGCCGAGTGTATCAAAGGCCGATTCAACGGCAGCTGCGGCGCGATTGTCACTGGGTCAGATTTGCCGAAATTTCAAAAAAAAACGTCCGAATCTACACCCTCGATGAAAAGGTTGCATTCCTCCATTTCACAACCTTTGAAGCAGCTTGAGGTAGAGTTAGATAGAGCTGGATTTCGCGTTTCCAACAAGCATCGAAATTGCTCTGGAAGCCTTCCTTGCAGAAAGATAGGGTCTGTCAAATTTCGTCGAGTAAATGTCGAGGAGGCCGAAATTTTCACGCGAGTTTTTGCCACTTCAAGAGCAATATATCTCTTATATTGTAAGATCCTGAAAAAGGGAAGATAGTTTTGGAAAGCGGAAGGTTTGCGCTTCCTGATGGTCTGTTTAGTTTTCTTCTACAGCTTTTTGGTTGAAGAGATAATTGCGTCGAGGATCTATCGAGGTCGGATCCGGCCACCTGGAAATCCGCTCCCTCATTCACCATTGCAAGTGTGACTCGTTGGCAACACTCGGAATGTGTCTAGAACAATATCTTTGAACGCAAACAATAAGAATAGGAGCAATCGTCATCATCCGATTTGGTATTGGTATAAGCCATGCATCCCTCCTCCACTCACAGTTGCAGAATCGATTGAAAGGTGTTATATGATGGGGACCTTCGAACGAAACTGTATTGTAGTAGACATAGTGTGTTGTGCTATTCCTGTAACCTAAAAAACAACTTCATTTGCCCAGCGCTTTTTCTTCACGGTTGTCGTTTTTCCGACAGGGTCCCTAACAACAGCGTCATTCTCAGCGAGGTATTAAGGGAGAAGGAGCGAGTGATAGGCGGAGGAGGTGCCTTTGCAGCGCGTGCGCACATGTGGCACTCTTCTTTGCGGGGATGCACTTTCATTCTTTGTACTGCCTTCAAATACGCCCTTCTCATGAAGGTGGAGGAATGGAGCGACTGAACCTGCAAAGAAAATTTAATATCATGTTTTTTTCAGATATTTTCATTTTCTGCTGCGCTATACCCTCTTACCTATCTGCACCACGATACCACTTCTGTTACTGACCCCCAAGAGTACGACCCCCCATGGACCAGCCCAACAGGTACGACCCCCCTGTCGAGGATTTCCTCGACCGCATACTCGTCTCTTTGCCGCTTCTGCGTCTGTTGCTTCGCCGCGCGGTGGGCCTGTTAGGGGACACCCATCGAAAACAGTAGCTAAACGACCAGCCCAATCTCTTTTATTTTTATATTTTGTTTAATTTGGCTATTTTGATTTATATTTCTACTTTTAATAAGAGATTTTGAACAACATTTTCAGTTTGCGATTTGGCCTGGGATTACGATACTATGCCAGGATGAGATAATTCCAGTCGGATCCAGATGGCACGTGCACATTTATCTCGACTTCACATGGTACATTATTTTCTCCTTTTTTAATTCAAAAATAATAGAAAATTACACGTTTTGAAAACGGATCCTTTTCACCATTAGGAAATCTCGGGTGAGAGGAATTCTTACTGAGCATCCTTCTTTACCTTACTCAGAGTAATAGCAGGCATTTGCACAGTGTTATGTTCTTTGGAGCTTCGGAAAAAAATAAAAATAAATAGATTAAAAGAAGATGTTAAGTACCGAAATGTCGCCGGCTAAAAAAACACTTTTATAATTCCTCTTCTGGAATATTTTGTGTCTGTTTTTGGCAATAGGTTTTGAACTTCAAAGAGTATGAACATTCAGAAGATTGTTCAATATTTGCAGCGGTTTGCAAACTGCTGCAACTCGCTTTATCAGAAATGATGGGTAATTTACCTTTAGCAGAGAGGTGAAGAGAGCGTTCTCAAAACACCAATGACCAACCTCATGATGACGTGCAGAGCCACTTGGTCTCTTATTATGAACTATAGACAATAGCCTAGAGATGCACTCGAACCCTCGGTGTGGTCATTAGTTCCCGAGCGTTTCTTGAGGGACTCGGGAGTGCTCCCGTTCGCAAGTCGAGAAGGTCGCACATAAAGCCATAAGGTTATGAGGACTAGAAGAAAAGAGAAACTTGACACGATCGGTAGGCTATACTTTCCCATTCCATTTCAGGTGGGCAATGGTCTATCACTACACCGTAGTGGCGTGGTCTCGATGGGCAGCTGTGCAGTGGCCGAACTGGTTTCGCGTCCTATCGCCCACGACATGTCTAGCCATTTGTGCTGCACCATGGGTTACAGGACTCGTGCAGTCCATCGTGGAACATCAAGTATGAAATAGATCTTCTTTCAGCAGTCATACGCTTTTAATGGCTGAAGGGAATGTTTTCAGTTCAAGTGGTTCGTGCCACTCTATTTCAACCCAGATCGATACGGTATGGATGCCGACTGGGTGAAATACAACGCATATGGTACCCATACGTACTATATGGTCTGTAACGTAGTCCTGATGGTGTTGCCTTTTCCGTTCTACGCGGCTGCGCTGATGGTCCTCTTTCAACGACAGGCTGAGCGGACCATTAGTAAGTTTTGAATCGCCTTCTTGGATGGAGCTCTAGGAAGACTATAGATTTCACTTTCCAGAAGCGAGAATTCACACACCCCGTGGTACTACACCGGCACTATTGTCTGTTCAACGACAAATGAGCATAGAAACCCGTCTGCTGGTGCCGTGTATCATTAATACGGTACTTTTCGTCGTGGGACAGGTGAGCCTTACTCTTTCCCAGTGCAATTTTCGAATATGCTTCATCTTGTTCCCTAATAATTTATTCTTTCCTCAGTTGAACTTCATTATGTTCACTCATCAGACTCGCAAACCTTCTATCAACAGGACAATATTGGTTTCAGATTTTCATCTCTCAGTGCTCGAAACATGGCAAATGGATGAACTGGGCAGTGATGGTGGTTTTCGCTGCGAACTCACTAGTCAACCCACTTCTGTACCTCTTTTTCAGGTCAGGAAATATCTTGTTATTTTACAAATGATTTCAGTCCCACGGAATGCAGTTCATAACATGCTTGGTATCCAAGTAGCTGACGGATAGCTTTTCACCAAAGAACTAATCAATAATCTATCTTGCTCTAACCGAGTCTTACTTGGCTCATGTTATTTAAATATTTTCCCATACTCTCAGAATGAACTTAGAGATTATATATCGAATGCCAAGAAAACAAGAAAGGTTCAAGTAGGTCTAACAATTCTACACGAGAACAGTGTGCACGGGAACCTGCTAATCATATGCACATATAACTCATTGCAGATTTGACGCTATACCTGTGTACGGCATGAATTTATCGCCACAAGATTGACGCAAATTTAGGATGGGTGAGTGAATGGGGGTAACAATGAATAGAAACCAACTGCTAGCCGTTCCCTAGTAAGGGTAAAGGATAACCATTTAAAGGAGGAATTCACGATTAGAATGAAGGTCGAAGAAAGGGAAACTGACCTAGTTGAGGGACCCACGGACCTCCTGAGGGTGCGAACTGACGCGCAATTCGCATGGAAAAATTTGACCTCGGCGACCTATCATGCCTCAAAGCTGGCGGGTCCGGCGATCTCCGCCCACCGATCATCTGATCACTCGCCGTAGTTCAATACGTGGCGAGTGATTAGATAGCTGAGAGAGCGTAGTGTTGAAGAGGGCACAGCGATGAGAGTCGCATCAATGCTCGAATCAACGGGCAAGGAAGGGGTACCATTTCTCGGGTGGGCCGTTTCTCATGGTTCTTCCTTCTTTCGTGTACCACTCACCATCCCTAGGTTAATTTGAAATGGGTTGCTTTTTCATCGTGAATTCGTCCTTTAAAGTCGCTTTAAAAGGCGACGTCAGTATATCTGCCGGCCTGAGCATTTTTCGTTTTCTTTGAACGTTGGGTAAGGGGTACATAGGTGGCATCGCTGAAATGACATTTATTTTCGACATAACAGCCATCTCGCGCAGGTCTAGTTCCAAAGCCTTTTGGCTGTAATTTTAGCCAACTTTCACCGTTGCAGCTCGATTGGGACGCCAACTTTCACCGTTACAGCTTAATTGGGACGTTCGCGAAGCATTCTTATTTAGCATTATTTATTTATTTATTTATTAAGCATTATTATTTCCATACTCCAAATGGTATTGCTGAACCAACTGATCTACCTAGGTCTCCATCCAAAGCTCCATGGGCGCTTGAAAACCTTCCCATGGAGATTTAGTGATCTAAGGTACCAAGAAGGGAATGTGTTTTCTTATTCGTTGATTATAGTTTTGAAAAGCATGCCACTCCACCGTTTACTCCATCAATTCAGATTTCGGGTAAGGTTGGTCGGGTATTTCCCCTGAGCTCATAGCGATGAATCTCTCGTATATGACATATAGGCAGCAAAAGCCAGCGCTACATATCAGGCGAAAGTCATTGCGCAAGTCGTGGATTGGAGCAAATACCCATGAAACTTCAAATAGGGAGAGTGGGGCGTAAGTGATGTTCGCAGCAGCGAGGACGTTGTTTTTGCACGCTTGACTCCTCAACACACAAATGGGCATAAATCGTTAGACTGATTGGGTTGGACTTCATTACATTAATTACACTTCATAAAAACAGAAGTTCTCAAAAATTGTACATGTCACTAAAGCTGTTGGTCTTCAAGACACTCAAATCTTCTTATCAAGCCCTCAGCTCTGTTCCTGACAACACTAAGAATAGTAGACCCCAAATATACCAGAAGGAAAAGTTAATAAAACCTTAGGGTGCCACTGAAGCGCACAGTGGAGCTTCAATGGGTTCTACAAAAAATAGTCAATAACTTCTACCGGTGCAGCACCGTGCCGAAGGACAAGCTCAAATCATTGCAATGGAACGGATAGTTGAAAAAGCTTCGACTTGAGCATTGAATTCCCTTCTCCTCTGAAGCTGACATATATAACAGAGTTATCAGTTTATTGCAATGCAATGAAAACTCTCGGACGTTCGAAGAAATAGGGACCCGCATAGATTGAAACAACGTTCAGTTCCTGCTCGGCCATAAACTTCCTCGAAGGCACATTCAGTGGCGTTTTGTATCCCCGCATCGCTTTCAGGATCGTACGGAAATGAGAAAGAAGTTGAATGATAGGAAGTACGATTGATGCCTGAATTTCTTCACCGAGGTTGCTTGTTTAGGGATTCGGAGGTTCTTGGGGGAAGGCCATTCCATTATAAGCGGAAACCGTCTGACCCGCCATTGTTGACTTTGTTCCTTTTGAAACCATAGAGCATAAACCTTAGCGACCAACAAAGGAAAGCAAAGTCAAACATAAATACAGGAAGCCGTACTCTCTTCTCAGGCTCTCATGTCCTTAGGGGGACATTCAAAACAGGGCCGATGGTGTAACACTATGACAGAGCCCAGAAGAGGGCTAAACACTGGGGAGAGCACAAATTTATTTATTTATTTATTTATAATAAACTCAATGCGCCACCAATAAACACAATTATATCAGTAGACTTGATCGAACGGAGAAGAGTAGGGCTAGAGACAATCTTTACTTCCTGACCTACAACAGTCTCAAGCGCAGTAATTGGCTAACTCACTTTGAATGTCCACGCTTTCAACGACGCCAAAAACGAGATTGGTCGTGAGTTCCAGGTCCTCAGCTTTCTGCATATCGGTGGTTCATTGTTCTCTGCCCTCAGGTAACAACATAGTGGTTATATGGAAGCGCAAGCAAAACAATTCCCTAAATAGTGTTCGGCCTAAGGCGAGAGAGCGCCAGGCAACGAATCATCGGTTCCTCTCGGTCTGTAGGATTAAAATCCTATGTAACAGGACACAATTCGGCATTCCCGCGCACGAAATATCGACCTAATGAGAGCGTCTAAGCCATTTGCATAAGTAAGCTGCTGAAGTCTGCTGCGTTCAATCATCTTTTTTCCTTTTTTTCTTTCTAATCAAACCGGCCTCACTCTTTGTGGCAAAAGTATATATCCCATTAGTGACATGAAAAAAAAACTATATAGCAATCACATCGTTAGCGCATTCAAAATTGACAGTGCCATTTATTATTCATGAGCACGTAAATCCGCAGGCGTGATGTCGCGTTTTCCGAGACAAACTGGCTCTCTCTGCAATCTATACGACTACGAACTGCGTTCGTCGAGTGGTTGTGGTGGCAGCGAACAGCGACATTCCTTGATCCGGATGAACCGCGACTTGACGATTTCCTCGCAACTGAATCGCGTCTGTTCGTCGCGATGAAAGTACTTACTATTCCGGTCAAGTCACGGTGATCCCTCAGGATTCTAAGGAATTCACGGCTTGTTGGTTGGCCACAAAGAAAAAATCACTTAAATCGACTGGGTTAACTATGAGCAAAAGATACATGCTTTTTCACTTTGCTGACTTCTTCTTCGGTTGATAAGGCTGTTTTTGTTTTCCCGACCGTTCCACTATCGCTCATATGTACGTGGAAATTATCATCTCATTGAGCTAGTAGCATAAGTGTTCCGCATCGCTCTGCTCATCGTTACTGCAGCAATAAAACTCGTTCGCCTATCGCTATGAATCTTCTAAAACTTAAGCATATAACGGGTAGGGACTCCAGGGAGCTCCTTCCCCGCCAGAGCCTAGATCGTTTTTCTTCAAAATGGAGGGTGTTTTTTATTGCTATCTGGTTGTTAGGTCATTTGTCGACCCAGAGTTTTTCTCCGTATCTTGCGCATAGGTGCCATACTCGGAAAAGGATTCACAGAGCAAAGCACCTTTACCTCAGTGCAGTAACATCATACGTCTTTTCATGTCGCAATTCTTTGTGCAATGATGTGCGCATTTCACCTATACCACTACGCCCTAAGCCAGCTAACGTACAAATTAGTCTTTCAGGCAGACTTTAATGCCACTCATTTAACCCGGAATAATTGGTTTGGGTGGGTGGAGTGCAATTCAGAACATCTCACAGCTTTTCTTTCCATAGCACACCTGTTCATAGGACGCACTCGATTTTGGAGGGAGCGCAAGGCGCCAGTGGTTTACTTGCATGAGAGCGCTCGCAAATCATTGAACGATCGCAGAAAACGAGCAGCAACTGCTCATCGCCTGTGGTCCCGATGTTCGCCGTTCCACTAACGAGTATCTGAATCTTTTAACTCCTAGATTTCGCTCTAAAACGCGGTATCTATAATTACCTAGTGGAACGTCAAAAATTGTTTCTAATTCTCATAATTCTCAAAAATCTCTACTTTCTGCGGTTTGCTTCATTGTTTACCAATACACGTGTTCAGATCGACTTATGAACTTCGTGGTGAACAGTACAATGCAAATTTTGCAAAAAATGTCATTCCGCAAAGGGGTCTTTAGGCAAGGTCGCTTTTTGAAAACGGTTTGAGTACATGTTGTAGGGACGCATGTATGGACCACAAAACCATGTTTCGTTTTCGCTGAACGGTTTTAGTAGTACCAAAAAAGTGGTGAATAGTACTCTTGATGGTTCAATCCCCGCGGCGAATAAAATTTTGCAATCAAGGTTGGCGGCCACTTGTTGGCTTCAAAATGGTCCTGACGATGAATTTGACACCCTGATTTTGATTTTACGCCAGTTGACACCAACTCCGTTAGGCACCTAAACCAAAATGCAACCCAAATGCAAAATTTAGTCGCCACGGGGGATCGAACCCTTAAACAGTACCTTATGCTTCTTTTTGGTACTGCTATAACCGTTCAGCGAAAATGAAACATGGTTTTGCGTTCCCTACATGCGTCCCTACAATATGCACAAAACCGTTTTGAAAAAGCGCACCTTGCCCTGAAAGACCTCCCTTGTAAGAGCTAGAGTGGCATCACTTCCTATTACCTAATCAAACGAATTTTTTAACGTAGGCGCAGCTTATCGCAACCACATGCCTCCCTTTATTCCTTCACTGGATAAACCCTTCTACAAAAAAGAGCCTTCCGTTTCAAGTCGTTCTAGCATCTAAATGTTCAACCATGACAGATCAAGTCCATACGATTATGG